GGGGTCTCGCTCTTGCTCAGGCTGGTCTCGAACTCCTGATCTTGAGCGATTCACCCTCCTCGGCCTCCCAGAGTGCTAGGAGTACAGGCGTGAGCCACCGTGCCCGGCCAGGAATCACAACTTTTTAAAAAGTTGAAATGCTTATATAACCCTTTAAATTTGCAGTAAGAAAAATAAGTGCTCTTAGTTAAAATGTCACCAAATAGACTTATGTTTTTAGAATTTATTATAGGAAAAATTTTGTTTTTCCAGAGGAGCTGATTTGTAGCCTTCTTTTGTATAATACAAGAACAGTATAATTTACTTTGATTTCTCTTTCACCTTGCTGCCAAAAAGCACAGCATGGATTTGAAGCCAAACACAGTTGACTTTGAAGAAGCTAGATATAGTGAGTGTTTTGCCAGGGTAGTATCTGAACGGTTTTGAGGAAGTAGTCAAAAAACATGTCAAAAGAATAACCAATTTTATGTCACTTTTTCCTCGTTTAGTTCAATTGGAGGAGCCTATTACATGAAATTGAAGGAGTCCAATGCAGGAATTGCCAATATGTCAGATTTTCATTTAGATCCCTGAAACTGTGGTTGAACAATGGAATCGAAAACTGATTTAGGTAATTTTACCCTTATTTGTACATTCATACATACATCAATAAATTCTAGACTTCCCATTGTATTATTCTAGGCTTGGAAGTTACTTTTTATGACTTTAAAAATTAAAAAAACAATCTCTGTAATTAGCTGGCCCTTGACATCTAAAATCATTCTCATGTCATTTGATTACAGCCAAAAATTAGAAATAAACCCCATTAATAGCTTCAAAAGCTGCACCTGCATTTTATGGGACTTTTATAAATAATTATTAAAACTTTTAAGTGTCCTAGGTTATTATGTAACAGAATCAAAGATTTGTCTGTAGTAATTCTTTCTTGTACCTTTCATCTGACATATCCATCAGGGGCTCTCTCAATAGGCTAATCCGCATGTTTATAATCCTATTCCCTTTTTTTCTTAACCCATCCATGCACTCAAAGAGCCTAGAAATCTCCTACAGTGCTAAAACTGGCTTCTGATTTTGGAAGGAATTTGGGAGATGAGGCTCCATGACACAGACAGTCTTCCAAATAGCCTTCTATTTCATTAACAGGTACTTGTTAAAAATTTTAGAAAGTAATTAAATATGATGGGCCTAGCATGAATCTTTAGGGCTTTCCTGCTCCACAATATGAAGACTGAATGGATAAATAGATTCAGACATGAAATATCATATGGCAAATCGTGCTGTAGTTTTATTTATTCACTACTCTTAGCCTATTTTAGAGAGTGCTGAAGCCTGTAACTTTATTGATCACCTCAAGCAAAAGTGAACAGTTTGTTAGGGATGCATAAAGACTGCTTTTCTCATGCCTTTTAATGTCGGGTTGGCTAGGTGCTGAGTGCCTGCTTACTGGGGTGCAGCTTTATGAAAAGGATGATTCAACTAGAACCAGGAGACCTGGACTTTCATTTTGGTTCTTCCAAACCAACAATTAATGGGCTTGTGACATTGTCAAGGAGCCTTCTAGAAGCCAGAATGTGATTCCCATGAATCTTCTGAACTTTCCACACTGAACTATACACTATGCTGACATAAAACAAGTGCTCAGTAAATGTTTGTTCTAGCAATGAACTAATTTGGGGGGGTTAAGCCAACCTGTGGTTAGAGAACAAAATGGTATTCTAATGAATTAAAAAGATTTTATTTGGTTACTTCTTTCCCTTCTATGTGGCACATAATTACATACACCACAGTCAAAGACTACACACTGGAAAACACTTGAACTAGCAAAGATTAGCTGCCAACTTTTATATTATATTTGCTTTAATGTTTTGCCCCACAGCTAATAATTAATAGGAAAGTAATAGTATAATTATATTTCACAAATGCTGGAATATTGTCTTGCATTTTCATATTAGAGAACTAAAGTTGGCCAATATTTTCTTATTTTAAAATTACAGGTGAAGACAAAAAGGCCTTACTTAATAACTATTAGTTTTGAGACATACAAAACTTTTATGGGTATATTATTTTAATAATTGTTTTAATAATTGTTTATTTTAATAATTGTTCCTCTTACCTGAGAACATTTACGAGTCATAGTACTTAGGCTGCAGGTATAAAAGGTATGCATATAATCTCAGAACTTACATTGATTTGTATAGCACATATCAATCAATATATGCACAAACTAAAGTCATAGCCAGGACATAGCTTTACAAGTCAGGGCCCTGGTAGAAAGTGAACGGATGGCAGAATCAAAAGGTAACTGATGTGACTATTAACTAAGAGACTACTAGAGAAGTGACTGTTAAAAAACACATGGGTAGAGTTAAGGACAATCAACAAGGGGTAGTGAAGCTTCTCAGGGCAGTCAAAATGGAAAGCTCTTACCACCCCTATCCCAGGAAGGAGAAGTTTCCAGAATTGGGCAAAAGGCATAGCTGTAGGAAAAGCTACCAAGAAAGAGCTATGGCTACAGGTAGAGGAAAACAGCCACTCTCAAGCCAGGGTCTAGCAAGGAAGGAGCCAGGGAATAAATAATCCAAAGTTCTCTCCTCTTGTGCTCGATCTCTTGCCAGAAGCCAGAGGACAAGGAAGCCCTGTTGGTGCAGTCTGTGGAGGACAGCTCCCTGGAGAAGGGTCTAGAGTGAGTCTACAAGGGCAGATGGAGAATATACAGCACAAACATTACATAGTATTTGGCAAACATAAGTTTTGGCCCTAATCTCCCCCTTACTAGCCACATGTCCTGGAGAAACAAAACGAACAATTGTGTGAGGGTGTGTGTGTATATATACAGAAAAAGAGAGTGAAATACTAGCTTTGATCTCAATTAAGAGCATTTGTATGTGGCAGCGGTGGCTGGCTTAGGCTGAACCATATAAAATTGCCTTTTGTTAGGTAAAACAATGGTTGACTATCAATCAAATACCAGCAATTTCATAATATTCAACCTAATATTTCTTTTACTACACCATGGTGCCTATGGAGGGGAAGCAAGAGTGCATAAACACACTACCGTGAAAGAAGGTGCCAGAGGCTAGAATGTCTATGAGTAGAAATGACAAAAGGGTGACCCTGAAATCACCCAATGAGTATTTGGCATGTGCTTCGAAAACAGTAGAAGCAAAGCCCACATTCTGCCAAT